GTCTCTATGTACTCTGATCACATGACATACCTGTGTTATCTACCTGTCAGGTGTTTATACTTCCTGGTCTGGAAGGGGATTTAAACACCTTTAACAACTGCTCTTTGAAATGCATTTATATTTATTTTATATATATAGTTTATGTGATATTTAGCTCTACTGGTTAGAGACCAGAAGAGTTTATTACAGATGGGTATTGCCACAAATTTCATATCGCGATATATCACTTTTTTTCAAAAATATCGCGATAATATCATGATATTATTGCAATTTTTGCAATGATTTTAAATGATTATTCATATTTTTCCCGAAAAATATGCTGGAAAAACATAACTTCACTTTTTTCATTTTTATTTACATAATAGCAAGCAATTTTGGATGCTAGGATGCTGTTCTTTTTTCCGTTTTCAACATATTTTACACTTCCTGTAAATGTAATTTGAAAGATTAAACAAATAAATGATTTTTGGAATCTATAACTATGTACCTAAATACCGGTATTTTAGTCTCCATATCACGATACGTATCACGCAATTAAAAATCACGATATAGCGGTATACCGATAAAATCGTACATCTCTAGAGTTTATGTGATAGTAAGGTGTCTGTCATCCATCCATCAGTTTGTCTGTCTGTAAACAATTTTTCAAAACCCCACTCCTCTACAGTTTTGGTCTGATTTCAATATAGTAGACAACACTAAGGTACCTATTCTGTTTATGGGATTTTCATGGTCTCACACAGGTCACATTAGGGTTGTGTATTGAGAAAAAAATTTCTATACAATACGATACGATATCTTATAAAGCGATATGCGATATATTGGATTCTTTAACAAGTCTATCAAAAAAGTTTTGTAAATCATTTAATGCATAGATTTTATAAAAACTAGGTGTTTCATAACCCATTTCTAAAATCTTGTCTCACTGACATTACAAAATTCACATCAAATTCATACTTTTAATGACTGTAAAACCAACATATTAAAATATAGCTGTCCTAGTATTTTGTAATACTTATTTATTATGTGCTATCTCTATCATGTTTATATCATTATTGATCAGTTTTAATTAAAAACAGTTAAATATAATCTTTGCCGATTGAAATTCCCAACTTTTTCACAGAATTATGAGAAAAACTACCTGCCCAATACGTATTGGAAGTTATTTTTTCGATACGATACATTCTTGAATATCGATACATATCGATATATCAATATATTGATTCAGCCCTAGGTCACATAGCATCATATCCTGGGCACTGGCATGGAGGTCCATGTTTTTGCAAATCTGAATTCAAAATTAATAACATGAAACTGTACTCAGATTTGCTCTTATACATAATATGTGTTTGATAACTATCATTCCACTCAATTTCTTTACAATTATTTTTAGCTCTTGTCAGTAGAGATTGTTCTTTCTGACGTATCCGTATAATTAAGTATCCGTAACCGTATACGTATCGAGGTGAAAGAGGCATCTCGATCCCGATGCCTAAACTTTTTACTATAATTTCCATCGTTATTTGTTTGGTTTTAAAGCAGCCCCATTCATTTAAGAATAGCATATGGTATTTTTTCTAATAAAAAATGTATTAAGCTGCTGTAAACGTCTATCATTTCGCTGGAAAATTTTTAAAAAATAGATAATAAAATTAAATAAATTTGAATTTGTTTTCATTATATTGTTTAAAACTTTAATTGCAACTTTGTTTAAAAACATTTATCTGGTTCCCCCACTTTCCATCCTACCATCAGGATATTTTATTGATTGAATCTGTAATTTACATTAGATGACATAAAAGTTACCCCCCCCCCCCCCAGTCACACACACACACTAAAATGCAAAAGACGTTGATATCCACACAATCAATAAAACCGTGTAGCCGCGTCTAGACTCTTACCAATATATGCTAAAAAATGCCAGCCCCCCCCCCCCCCCCCCCCCGGGGGACACACACAAACTTTCATAGCGTCGGTTGGCTTTCTTCATTCTTTTTTTTAATGAACTATTTGACAATTACCTGTATGTCTCCCCTTCCTCTCCCCAGTTGAAATTGCTACTTCCGTGCCTATTCTCATACAGCTTGATTTTGCTTTATATTTTGTCCTTTCAGCAGCATTAACTTGAAAAGACTTCATGGCGACAAAAAATAGGCAATGAAATGAAAATGCAATTGTTAAATTTGATTTTTCCTTTTAGTTCTCTTGTTGTTGTACATGCGTATTATAATTCATGGTTTGATATAGAAACTGTTTCAGAATAGGATATTCATCATCTTAACTCTCTTTTTATAAGAAATAAAAGAACATTAGGTTAAAAAATGTTAAAACAATAGACATATCTATTTCTTCCATGCTACCTTGTCCACTCTGCTACCTAGTCCATCCAGCTGATTTTTATTTATTTATTTTATATTTATTTATTTATTTATGCATTTTGGCCCAGATCGGGACAAGTGTGAGTCAATTCAACACGCAGTTTATAGAACTGAAGAGAAGAGGCTGTTTCAACGTAGCAGAGAAATAAAAAACAGAATAAAGGATAAAATTTATACAAAACATTTAATTGATAAAATATCAGCATTTTTTCAGAGTTTTGATCCCGCTTGTACACAAAGAATTACAGTCATCTTAATTTCAATAAATAAATCATTAAGTAAACTTAAGTCAACATGTATATAAAGAAATGTATAAGACAAAAACATTTTTCTCCGTTTATCTCCTTTTGTCGACTATTGATATTGTGTGAGTGAGAGAGAGAGGTGGGGGGAGTCCCTTTTTTAACTTTTTTTATTTTAAACAATTTAATAAAAATATACATACTTTTTTACTAATTGTATTTTTTTTTTTAATCCTTCCATAAAATGATAGGTGTGAACAGCAACTTGATACGTTTTATTAGAAATATTACTATATATCTTATTTTGAAATGAATGAGGTTAAAATCAAACAAGAAACGATGGAAATGTTACCCAACGGTTAAATCATCGGGATCGAGAAGCCTCTCATACCTCGATACGTATACGGATACGGATACGTATACGGATACGTCAGATAGAACAATCTCTAGTAATAATGTTTGAAATGTGAGTAATTCCTATGCAAGTTTTTCAAAACTTAAAAAGGGGGATTTAAAGTATTTTTAGCTCACCTGAGCTGAAAGCTCAAGTGAGCTTTTCTGATCATATTTTGTCTGTCTGTCTGTCCATCCATCAGTCCGTCCGTCTGTAAACTTTTCACATTTTCAACTTCTTCTCAAGAACCACTAGGCCAATTTCAACCAAACTTGCCACAAAACATCCTTAGGTGAAGGGGATTCAAGTTTGTTCAAATGAAGAGCCATGCCCTCTTTCAACTTTTTTTAGACCCTCGTGGGTAGGGTGGGTCTACAATGGGGTACATCTAAGTTTACATAGGAGTATATAGGAAAAAACTTTAAAAATCTTCTTTTCAAGAATAGACAATCCATGATTAGTCAAATTAATATAGAAGCATTCTCAGGTAGTGTAAATTCAACTTTCTTTAAATCATTTCCCCTTGGGGTAGAAAGGGCCACAATGGGGGATCAAAGTCCTTTTTACAAAGGAAAATATAGGAAAAAAATTTCAAAAAATCATCTCCTCAAAAAAAAGGAGTACCTTGATTAGTCATATCATTATGGAAGCATCCTCAGGTAGTGTAAATTCAAGTTTGTTAAAATCATGACCCCCAGGGTAAGGGAGGGGCCACACTGGGGGATCAAATTTTTTACAAAGGAATATATAGGGAAAAAATCTTTAAAAATCTTCTGCTCATGAACAGCAAAGCCATTACTTATATTGATATGGAAGCATCCTCAAAGTGTTAAATTCAAGTTTGCCCCCCCCCCCGTAAACTTTTCAATACTGAATTGATTTGTGCTTTTTCCTAGCTAATGTGCTCAGGTGAGCCATGTGGCCCATGGGCCTCTTGTTCATTTTAACAATGTTTAACTTTTACAAGTTTACAAAGAATCTATTTGCTTACAGAGGAAATAAATTCATTATCCAGGTCCAATCAAGGGTGTACAGGGATTTAACCCATATTGTATTTCATACACCCTGAACCCAAACATAGAACCTGGATAACTGATAAATTTAATTTATATTGAGAAAAATAGCTGCAGAACAACAGGGCCAAAATGTCTCAGATGAGCTTTGTGGCCTATGGGCCTCTTGTTGTAAGTTCTTTAAATTTCAGATATGCTCTTAGATATTTTAATAAAAACTCAGAACATGATTCTCAATCTAGAATTTTACTTCTCATCCAGAGCTGTAATTCCAGTCATCCCATCTTTACTAGCCAAGTGAATAAGTAGCAGGTCAGGAACACATACTTAATCAAGTTGAGCTCATCCTACATTAATCAACCAATTCCCCTTTATTTGTTGCTAGACTAACAATAGAATGTCAATGAGAATAGGACCCAGATCGAATCTCAAATGTTAACTCTAACTAGGTCTGTCAACAAACAGGAACAATTTTCCTTGAAAAAATAGTGTAGATGAAATCGTACATTGTTTTGTGTATGATTTTGTTTTTAAAAATTGCAACAAACATTTGATATTTGAACATCAATGTAGCATGAGTACATACGTAATTGAATGTATTGATATTACAGGTAAGGGAGATGGCAGCCATTACATTGAGTGGATTAGTACACTGTGGGTTTCTAGACATGGACAAAGACATGCTGGTAATGTCTTGTTCTGCATATGTTAAATTGCTATTTATTTTATTTGATTTCTCTGAATTAAAAACACGAAGTCCTCAGTCAATACAAGATGACCTCTTTGTATTTACTTTTTTTTTTGGAAGGGGGGGGGGGGTTGGTTAAATAGACTTAAAAAATTTCTCTGAATTGTATTTTTTTTTCTCCAGAAAATTCTCAGAATGAAACAAATGTACCATGCTTAGCAAAAAGTGTATATATGTATACATCTTTAGTTATGAATTTACTTATATACAGTAACACTTTGAAATCCTAAGTAAGAACAAGGTAAAGAAGCGTAAGTTAGCCGACTCGATGCCTCTGGAGGCACTAATAAAGCGTCGCGCTGGTGTACTGGGTCTCAGTGCTCTAGTAGAAGCTTATCCTTACAATGTACCAGAGTTCATGCCACAGATCTTAATGGACCTGAGTATCCATGTCAATGATCCTCAACCAATTCAGGTCAGTAAAACCTTACACTCATGTCAACAAATTCGGATCAAAACTTACACTCATCCAATGCAGATCAGTAGAACCTCGCACTCATGTCAACAAATTCAGGACAAAACTTACACAACCAATTCAGGTCAGTGGAACCCTACACTTGTCATCAAATTCAGGTCAAAACTTACACTCAACCAATTTAGCTCAGTAGAACTTTACACTCATGTCAATAAATTCAGGTCAAAACTTACAATTTACCAATTCAGGTCAGTAGAACCTTACACTCATGTCAACAAATTCAGGTCAAAACTTACACTCAACCAATTCAGGTCAGTAGAACCTTACACTCATGTCAATAAATTCAGGTCAAAACTTACAATTCAGGTCAGTAGAACCTTACACTCATGTCAACAAATTCAGATCAAAACTTACACTCAACCAATTCAGGTCAGTAGAACCTTGCTCTCATGTCAACAGATTCAGGTCAAAACTTACACTCATCCAATTCAGGTCAGGAGATTCTTACATTCATGTCAACAAATTCAGGTCAAAACACACTGAATCAGTTCAAGTCAGTAGAAACTTAAATTCATGTAAAAAATTACACAACCAATTTAGCTCAGTAGAAACTTATAAAGTCACCACAACCAGTTCAGGTTGGTAAAACTTGACACTCATTTCAACCATTTCTGGTACATAGAGGCTAACACTCACCTCAGCCAGTTCAGCTCAGTAAAAATTTACATTCAATCAGTTCTAGTCAGTAGCTACTTGTCTCAACCACTTCATCTCAGTAGAAACTTGCAGTCACTCCAACTTGTTCAGTGCAATAGAGCCTCGTTTGCCTCAACCAATTTTGGTCTGTAGAAAGCACTCACTTCTACCAAATCTGGTTGGTAAAACCTTAATAGAAATTTACCTCAACCAGTTTAGGGGTCAGTAAAATCTTACACTCAATATAATCTTCATTTATATTTATACATAAAGGGAATCCAAAAGCTGCATATATATATTACTGGACTGAAGATTTAAGGATGATCATCCATTCATTTTGTCATAGGCAGTATGCTATAGAGCTGCACATGGTACCAGTAAGACAAATGTCGGTACAGACAATACATCTTGTATCCATTTGTATTGATTTTAATATACTTGTAAACGCATTTCTGATAGTTATTTATGTTCTATAAAAGTTGCATCATCGGTGAATGTTCAGTTGCTCTGTTAATGTTTTGCAGATGACTGTGAAGAAAACTTTATCAAACTTCCGTAGAACACACCACGACAATTGGCACGATCATAAACAAATGTTTACAGACGGTCAACTTGTCATATTAACTGATATTCTTGTGTCCCCTACTTACTATGCTTGACAACGGATCATCATCCTAGAGAAATTAAATACCAAGGTGTAAGGCCTAACCAGGAACAGCTCAGCCATGGCAGAGCAGCCCGGAGTTATCTCCCCCCAAAACAGGGTCCCAAAAGTCAACAGCACCTTCTCTTCTCATTTCACAGATTTCATCATATTAAGGGACATGTACAATGCCAATTTTACAATTCCTCTTCCTATTTAGTTTGAGTATTTCAGTTATGTACAAGGGGGTTGTCATATTTTTATGTACATGTATGTCATGATTAAAATATTTCTTTGCACTTTCTTAGGTAATCAAGTAAACATATGCAGTGCGATCAGTTTTATGGACAAAGCTTGAATGTTAGAACATATTCTGTTGGTTAATGGGAAATAACTTAGATAATTGTTTTTAAGATTGCTAACAAAGGGAGATTTATTGTATATGTTGTTTTAAATCTGTGTTTTACCACAAAGGTTCCTTGCAGAAATGTAACCAACGTTTGACTGATTGATTAGTACCTGAAGCTCTTGAAATGTAATGTAATAGTAACATGTATTTATTTTCAGAAATAGTTTGATTCTATAAGACTTAACCATTAAATATATTTTATCTGGATAGTCAAGGATGCAGTGCCAAAGTCATATGGCATTTGATGAAAGGTATTAACTTTATGTACAATTTACTATCAGAGAAAGTGAATGAAAATAATTCTAATAGTAAAAGTGTGCAATTTAATAAACTTCAGGGTGTAAAATTGTAAATTTTACTACAGTTATGTGTAGTTTTCATCCTGCATGAGGGTAAAATATAAATTTAGTATGAAACATTGCATTTAATTATTCAGTATAGTAGTTCATTGTTCCTGAAGGCACATTAAAACTTTTCAACTTGGTAAGGTTTTCTTAAGAGATTCTGAATAAATAGATATACATATTATATATAGTTAGACCAGATGTTGGTCAAGAAACACAGTGTAACGATAAAAAGGTAGAGACAGGCTAAAATATCCCAAATATTGAACTTTACATTTCATGTATATGTTTTTAAAGTTAACTTCACATTTCATGTACATGTATCAAAGTGGACTGTGAACTGTGTCATAATCCATGGGTTTTTATTTAAGCTATTCCTGATGTGATACAATTAGTTTACAATTATGTCATTAACAAATTATTTTACCATAATGATGAGAATCCTTGTCATGTTTTCATTTATGAAAAAAATGGATTTAAATGAAAATTATGCTTTCATAAAATTGTTATGTTACTGTTGTTGTTACTGTGCAAAAACAACACGATTCGATCAGTATTTGATCATATTTTGAAATATCCTTACTGACATTTTCATCATAAACATGACTGTACAATGTAAAATTAAAATATGAAAGAGTGGAAGAGAAACTTTCTATAGATTTTGTATTTTAATTTTTAAGAAGTCTAAATATGTATCTGAATATCATCGTGTTACGGACATTTTTATTTCCATGGTTGATAATTTTTCAAATGCATTCTGCTGAGTTGTTGCACAGATAGATAGCAATTACATGTATGTAGTAACATATTTTTTGGAGATCAAAAATTAATTTTCAAATAATACAAGGACTTCCACTAGAACTCTATTGGTTTTTCACTTAATAAATGTAGGAAAGAAAGAAGGACCCTTCCAGAGATTAGACTGAAATAGACAGAGGACATAACCCAAAGATCAGACTGAAATAGACATAGGACATAACCCAAAGATCAGACTGAAATAGACATGGGACATATCGCAAAGATCAGACTGAAATAGTGAAATGTAAAATAATATAAAATCAAACAACAGAGGTATAAATTTTCACTTGGTATAATATAAAAAAAGTACATGAACATGAAAAATTCGGAGCTAAAGTTAGCTCCAAAATTCCAAAAGCAGCGACAAAGCCATATTTCCATTACCTTTATGGTATTTTGAGGTCATCTTTTTAGGTCACCTGAGTCACTCAGGTGACCTATTGCTATCCGTTTTTGTCCGTCGGCGTTCGTCGTGCGTTAACATTTGAACATTTTCAGCTTCTTCTCTGAAACTGCTGAACCAATTTCAACCAATTTTTGCATATAGCATCTATGGGTGAAGGGGAACAAAAATTGTGAATTTCAGGGTCCCTGCCCCCTGGGGCCTGAGGGGTGGGGCTAAAACCACCAAAATTAATGCAATCTTTAAAAATTTTCTCCTTCACTCCTGGACATCAAGCAGTCAAACTGTTGGCATCATTGTAATAAGCAGTGAGCCCTCTACCAAAATTGTGAAGTTCATGGCCCCAGGGTCAGGGGTTCTGGTGTTAAGGCGGGGCTATATAGATCATATAGTGAAAGTGCATTATTTCTTTGAAAATCTTCTCTGCTCCTGGGTATTAAACAAACTAACTAAGTACAAAATTATGGTGAGCAAGAGTGCCTCTTCCAAAATTGTGAATTTCATGGCCCCTGGGTCAGGGTTTCTGGTGTAAGGGGGGGGGGGGCTCTATTGATTATATAGTGAAAATACATTAATTCTTTGAAAATCTTCTCTGCTCCTTGGCATATCAAAGGCAAACGAAGTAAAAGTTTTAATAAGCAAGGTTGTTTTTACCAGATTTTTTTAACATCTGGACCATTTGGCCAAGTGTTCTGGTCCTGGACAGGGCTCTATTTATTATTTATTCTCCTGAGATAAGTTATTCCCCTTTGCAATTCACTTTTGATCATTAATCACTGTACTTTTGATAATTAATCACTGTAAATAATGTATTTGAAAAGTTAATAGAATAAGAGAATTTTGCAAGAAATTTTATTGTATAATACAAAAACTACTTTCATATTTTTAATGATCAGATAGACTTGTAAATAATAGAATAATAAAAATGAGACAAAAGTAACTTATTAATTTGTTCTTCAAAGACCAAGAGAGGCCAATGTGAGAGATTACAATTGTACAGAATCACCAATAGTTTGATAACAGTCTGCATGGTGATAGTGCTAAATAAGGGATAGATTAGAATATAATTTATGAGTTGTTACTAAATATTAGACTAATTATTTCATTGATCCTGATCATCCTATTTCTCTTGCTTTTGGCCAACAAAGCTTCATCTACCAGTTTATTTTATATTCTATGGATCCTCTAAGTTGTTGTATTATACTCAGGTGACTGTTAAGGCCCTTGGGCCTCTTGTTATCTAAAGTTATCAACATCTGTCATTCATAAACAAATTTGAATAAAGAAAAAACATAACTGGATGAAAATATTCTAAACCAATCCTGAATGTTATGTTTGTGATTCAAAGGACCACGTACAGGTACATCTAGAAAAGGGTTGCCTTTTGATATTCAGGTGACCCAAGGTCCAATGCCTCTTCTTAAAAGACAATTATAAACTTAAGAGTACCAACTTAAAGCAATAACTTTGAAATAAATTTTTCTGTTGGATGAAATTTCCTATTTAATACAGAAAAAAAATAAAACGCTATATTCTTTGTTTTTATTTACGACCATCAATCAAATTTGGACTTGCAAAATTTTTAATCTTCAGTTTCATGACAAGAAATAACATCATATTAACACATTGAATGAATGGTGATTCATTAAAAAGACCATCATACAAACTCATTTGTGCTACATTCATTAGAACATCTTGGTCTCTAGTACTCACAGAAAATTATACATATACATCACATTTGTGAAAAACAATTAGACAATCACAGATATGTTCGATGCGTATTTTATCTCTTCAGATTTTACCAGAATATTAGTTGCAAAGTATGAGATGTATATGACAATACTCTAATTATTCTTCTTGTCTTTTTAGTCTGTGTAGAAGAAAAAATTTTGCTGTTTCATCATAAAAATCTTTTGCACTAATGCACATAAACAGGTATTGCAATTTTTCCCTTCATTAAGATAATGAACCGTCTAGCAGTTCTTAAATCTGTCTAGCAGTTCTTATACCCAAGAGTTTTGAAAATGATCAGAAAGCAACAGTATACAAATAATTTTTCCATGTCCAGCTGTCCATGTCTGACTTTTTTAAAACCATGAACAACCATAAGTCACAACATGTGTTTTCCATAAATATATCAATTCTATATCAAACTACACTCATGTTATTCATAAATATTCTCCTTCATGACTCTGTAAAATATTTCATATTTTCTGGTTTGAATAAAAACAACTAACAATTTTTCCTAGGGTTAAATATGAGCAGTTTATATGGGTTATAATGCACCATAAAACATATATGAAAAAAAATTTTTGACCTGGTCAAGATTTTTAATCTATAGTTCTGCTTTTTTAATTAGATTCATAGCACTTACATGATCAGCAATAATTTAGAAAGCACTTTTCAATGTATTAAATTGGATGCAGCACAATGCCAACAGTAAATACAAAATTAATATTTACCCAGTCAAAATGGAGATACCCCATCCTGATATTTTACAGTGATTATCAGATTTCTAAAATCTGAGATTATTTAACACATTTTAAATAAATGATGGCAATAACAATCATGACTTTAATTCTTTCTTGCACCTCTCCAACTACAGAACATGTAGTTACATAAACAATATCACTGGTACAAACACAAAAAGCATCATTCTGACCAAATGTATACAAAATATATTTTAACTTAAAGATCTAGAAAAAAAAATGAGGATCTTTTTCTTTCTTGGCTTGTGACAAAAATATCAAAGGATTTAGCTTTTAGAAAAATGGTTGCTCTGCTTTAAGGAGATCAACTTAATTAAATATGGATAAATCCTTATGATTTTCTCTGTGTAATAGTTTATCATAAAGATTTATAAAAATTAATGTACAGTATTTGATGGTAATTTGGTTTTCCTATCTTTCCTATGACACACATTTCATGAGTTTCTGCACAAATAGGAATGGCCCTTTGTTGAGAGAGGTAACTCTATCCTTGAAAACAAATTACTTTGCTAAAAAAAAATTTAATAAAAAAGTCAAAAGTATACAGTACTTAATGCCAGCTTTTGTTTGTGACAAGTCAGAATTATTACGTTCTTACAGAATTATAAGTTTTTACTAATAAATTAAATAAACAGTGCTATTGTTAACAACATGTGTTGTTTTCATGTACATTTCTCCTAAAGAAGTAACTTTTGACCTACACTGTACCTTTACCCTCTAATGAAATTTTTATGCTTGTTTTCACAGAATAATAAGATTTTTTTTCATTTATTTTAAAACCCTAATACTGTAGATATTTATGGGTATATATATCACTTCTACTGGCTCCTCCTGTCTGCTTTTCTGGACTGAATACATTTTCAAAAGTTCAAATAAATACAGATTGTAATTCTGGGACAATCTTGCTATTAAATGTCAATCAAAAAGCAAGCTAACAAACATGGAATGTTCTACATTTAAACATGTATAAGTACATGTAGGTATACTATATATCCTGATGATGAATTTAAAATCCAAAAATTTCTGACCATTGGTAATTTGACTATTACAATCTATTATTTTGATTTTTTTTTTTAAGTTTCATTCTTTGGAAATAAATGTATTTGTAACTTAAGTCATGGGTGGAAATCAGATTCTATTGTGAAAATAATAAATAAACTTCTCCCATTTTTGGTACAGGAAACTTCTCAGACAAAGTTTTCTTCTCGGATTATGAGATGTAGTATTATATTAAATATTGTAAAATGCCGTCAGTAAAATACTGTAAGATTTTTGGTATTGCCTCTACAAAAATGCATTTTCAAATTGTTTTTAAAAACATTAATTACTTGGAAAATGTTCAAACAATAATCCAAGACAAAACATAATCACTAATTGTAAGTATTAAAACATCCATTTGATTCAAAAGTGAGGTGAGGGGTCAAAAAATAGAGAGATGACAATGAAATTCAGAGCTTTGAAATGTTAAACAATTCCTGATTGGCTCCTTCATAATGATATGGACTAATGAGGCTGCTCTTTACTGAATGGTAATGGTGAAATCTTTAGCAATGTTAACTCCCGGCTTCCTAACTGTTAACACTCTAGTGGTACTGTCATAATTATGATACAGAGACTGTGAATTTCCATCAACTGAAAAAAATACATTGGAAGGGGATTATAATAAGAGATACATGTACAAGAATACTGAATTTTTTTTTCTTCTCCTTAAGTTGGCAATCTTTAAATACCGCAAGACCTTGACCTTGTTAGCTCAATCTCAAAAATTATGAGATATCCGAGCACTCAATATACTGTGGTAAAAACACACAAAGATAAAAAGTGGGTTGGGACTTCCAAATCACTTTGACATAATGTACATGGTATTCAACATACAGATGTTAGAGACATGAAGTTTAACTGTATTATTATTTTTTCATGGGAAGTACAGTGTATGCTTTATATTTCTCATGTTCTTTCAAATGAAATTTTTATTATCAGAAAGTAATGTTCGTTAACCAACCTGTCATATCGACACTGGACGCAGCTTTAGGAAATCCTACAATGACTAATTTTTCTAGCCATTCTTTAGTTGATCCTTGTCCATTTGGATCAGCATTACTGAAATGAAAGAATTATCCTCTTGTTCAAATTCCACTCTTCAAACACATCAAGTAGGAAGACATTATTATAAAGAAAAATCTCTCAGAACCAACCTGCTTTTTAATATATTATTTTTGAAGCTAAATTCTCTGTGAATGTAATTTCCACTTCTGTAAGCGAATGATTTATAATCATCTGCATATAAATCTCCCTCAGCTTCACCCTGTAGGAATGAAAAGGACACAACAGAGATTGTAAGATTGATATTATATTATTGTCCAAATTTATCCGGATCAATTTATTTATCCAATTTTGTCAGAATATGAATTTTCAATCTTGACGTGTGAACCCGCCATATTTGCACGATTTTTCGATGTTTACCCAAAGCTGTAGTGAGTTTGAGCTGTTTTACCTTAGATTTTTGGATGAGTTGGAAAATAATCATGGTAATTACCTTTCTTTTATGGTTGTATAAATGCAGTGTTAACTTCATATCTTTTTGTATACTGTATTTTTGGAGGAAACAAGGTTAATCTTCAGTTTGAGCATATGATGTAAATTAGCGTTCTCACACGTTAGATGTTAACGTCATTTATACATTTCTATTCACTTAAATTATTCAACACCATCATGCATTACTAGTTTATTACATAAAGTATTCATATTTATTGTATTCAGTATTATCAGTCAGTCGAATGGTGCATCATTTCGGTCACATTTATATAATGTACAGCATTGTAAGTTCTGTTTATTTTTTTTGTTGTAGTCAATCTTTTCCCTTTCCTTTACCATTTCCTTTACCTATGTTGATGGAAATAAATGATGGGAAACGAATGTGACAGTTATTTATGAGAAACATGAAAGGAAAACAGTGTCATAGCACTACATCATTGACGTGATTATTCTATTATTGGAACCGGACGGCAGCCATGACAGAAGATGGTAAACTACCAAGGGCTGAGGCCGGAGAATCACGACCAAGTAGGGAAAACAAAAAACTTACAGAAAAGGCCAGGTCATACAAATTACAAGAATATTATGACAGTTTTAGAAAATTAAAATCGTCAGTAACACAAATAAAGAATTTGATGTTAGAGAATAGAGACACTGAACTTATAAGAAAGAGGTATAGTTCCTGGTTGGATAATTATGAACACTTTTTAAACTTATTTGATGTTCTTAAAACCCAGACAGGGGATGAACAAGAGAAAAGCAAATTGCTGTTAGATCATCAAGATTATGACATATTCTTGATAAATTTTAAGAAAGAAGTAGAAGCATTCTTTTCGTATCAAGATACTGTGAAAAATGAAACAATGAATGTGAATAGTGTAAACAAAGCACAAAGTAGAAACTCTAGAACATCGAAATCTTCTTGTGTCTCCCTTGAAAAACTTAAGGAAGAACAAAAGCTAGCAGAACTTGAAGCACGCAAAGCGTCGTTAAAGAAACGAAAGGAATTGGAATTGGCCAAATTAGAACTTACACTTAAGGAAGAAGAATTTAACATAGAGACAGATATTGCAATTTCTAATGCAAAGACTGAAGTTTTACAAAAGTACGAGCTAGAAAGTGAAATTATTGACACTCACAGTGATAAATTTTGTGAAGAAGAAATTACACCTAGAAGAAATCCACCTATGCCATCCCTCAGAATCATAGTCAACGATGCAGAACTTGGTTCCCAAATTTCTGTGTCAGAAAAACAACTCAATCCAAACGCCAGTGTTTTTGTGCCAAACATTTCAATGGAAACAAAACAACAAAATGCAATGCAGGATGTTGTGAACAACCTAAGAAGACCATTGCCAGAAATTAAAAAATTCAGTGGAAATCCATTGGAATTTCGGCGATTCATGAGACAGTTTCACGCAAAAGTAGTGATGAACACTAGTAATGATGATGAGCGTCTCAATTATCTGGAACAGATGATGCAAGGTGAAGCAAACCGTGTCGTATCTGGATACACACACATGTCTGGAGATAAAGGATACCAAGCAGCAATGAAGCAATTGGAAGAAAGATACGGAGACAGTGAACTGATAGTGACATCATTCATCAAGAAAGCTCTTGATTGGCCTATGATCAAAGACGCGAAAATGTTAGACGAATTTGCATTGTTCCTGGTAGAATGTCAAAACGCGTCAGAAAGCATAGACTGTGTGTCAGTTCTGGACTATGCTGAAAATATTAAAAGACTTTTGTCAAAACTTCCGATATATCTACACGATCGATGGAGAACTGCAGTTCTCAAAATTAAGGAGACTAAGAGAAGAATAGGATTTAGTGACTTTGTGACCTTTGTGAAGACTGAGGCAAAGAAATCTAATGATCCCATATATGGAGTTTCATCGTTGAGTGGAAATTCACGTTCACAACCTGATAAGCACCAGAAAAGAACAGTTGCATCAGGAGGCCTAAGTAGTGGAAAGGAATCACCTGGAGCATTAGTATTGAAATGTGACTTTTGCGGTGGTGCTGGCCATGTGTTGATCGATTGTTACAGATTTCAAAGAATTGGTATTCAAGAGAGATATAACTTTATGAAAAATAAAGGACTTTGCTATGGATGCTTGAAAAAGGGACATGTAACCAAGAAATGTAGAAACAGACTTAAATGCATTTCATGTGGAAGTCAACACCCTACCATTCTTCATGACCCATCAAGATCAACACCGAATTATCCAAACAATAGGGAAGAACACAACAACTCAGTTTCATCAAATTCTAACGTTGATCAATCTGTCATCCACACAGGGAATTCTGATGTCAGTGCTTCTTGTGATACTGGGGCCGGAGAACAAACATCGGCCATGGCGATAATTCCTGTGAGAATTAAGTTGAAAAACAAGAACCATAGTGTCATTACATACGCATTCTTTGACTCGGGTAGCAGCGTTACTTTCTGTTCTGAAAACCTCATGCGACAACTAGGCGTTAGTGGAAAGAAATGTAACATCACTCTGAACACAATTGGAGAACCATATCAGTTGGTGTCCCAGTCTGTCAGAGGCCTACAACTCTGTGATATGAACATGATGGAATTCATAGATCTTCCAAAAATTTATACGAAAGACAGGATGCCTGTCACCCATGAACATATTCCTAAAAAGGAAGAAATTTCAAAGTGGCATCATTTATCGAACATAACGCTCCCAAATGTTGCTGCTGAAATTGGCCTTCTTATTGGCAGCAATGTCCCAGACGCTTATGCTCCATTTGAAGTGGTTACCGGACCAAGTGGATCTCCTCACGCCACAAGGACGCACTTGGGATGGATTGTGTGGAATGTACTGAGAGAAGTCGGGTCAGGATCATATGATGTGAACAAAGTGACGCTGGAGCGGTACTGTGAATGTGACACTAAGCTGGAAGAATTAGTGAAGGCGTCAATTAACTCAGACTTTCCAGAGCACATGATAGCAGAAAAGAAAGAACATTCAGTGGAGGACAAAACTTTTCTGAGCCAAGTTGAAAAGTCCATCAAACAAGTGAATGGTCATTACTCAATAGGACTTCCTTTTAGAAACAATTCTGTGAGCTTGCCAAATAATATGATTCAAGGACTACAGAGACTCGAATGTTTGAAGAAGAAGATGTTGAAAAATCCACAATTTAGAACTGATTACACTGTTTTCATGAATAAACTGTTCGAGAAAGACTTTGTTGAGCCAGTTCCTGAGATACAACTACAAAGGGATGATGGACGCGTATGGTATCTTCCTCACCATGGTATATATCATACAAAGAAGCCAGGAAAAATAAGAGTAGTATTTGACTGTTCTGCTGTGTTTAGGGGTGTGTCTCTAAATAGTCAACTACTACAAGGACCTGACTTAACTAACAGTCTCTTAGGAGTGCTTCTAAGATTTCGACAGGAACGTATTGCGATACAAGGTGACATTGAGTCTATGTTCCATCAAGTTGCAGTACCAGAAGAGGATAGAGACTGCAAGAGATTTTTTTGGTGGAAAGATGGAAATCTGAGTGCTGAACCTAAACAGTATAGGATGAAAGTACATATTTTTGGGGCTGTCTCATCACCTACTTGTTGCAATTATGCTTTGAAGAAAACTGCTGAGGAACACAGTAACGACTATGATCAAAGCATACAGAATACCATAATGAAAAATATGTACGTGGATGACTGCTTAGCATCAGTTGATACAGAGGAGAAAGCCAAATACCTCATAAAGGATCTGATGGCCCTTTGTAAACAAGGAGGATTTCGGTTAACAAAGTGGCTAAGTAACTGTAAGGAGGTATTGAAATCCATCCCAGAAGAAGATAGAGCAGAAGACATCAAAAAATTTGGCCTAAATGAAGAAACTCTGATTGAGCGAGCCCTTGGAGTTTATTGGTTCGTGGAAGACGATTCCTTAGGCTTTCAAATACAGTTAAAGGACCATCCTACAACAAGAAGAGGCATACTTTCTGTGACAAGTTCCATTTATGACCCACTCGGCATTGTAGCGCCATTTGTTTTGACAGCTAAATCCATACTCCAACAGTTGTGTAAAGATGGTGTAAGATGGGATGATGAAATTGATGGAACCATGTTAAAGAAATGGAACAGCTGGCTCATGCAAGTGAAACATCTGGAAGATGTAAAAATTGAAAGATGTTACAAGCCAGGGAATATTGGACATTCTGTGTTATACCAGTTACATTGTTTTGCGGACGCAAGCACACTTGGCATGGGAGTTGTCATATATTTGCGCATGTCTGATGAGCATGGAAATGTACATTGTTCCTTCGTCATGGGCAATCAAGAGTGGCACCATTGAAAACAATGACAATTCCTAGGATGGAACTCACCGCTGCGACATTAGCCGTCAAGTTAAGTAAATTGGTGGACAAGCAATTAGACTTTCCTATAGAAAAAATACATTTCTGGACAGACAGTACAACAGTACTTCGCTACATCGCTAACACCAAGACTAGATTCCAAACCTTTGTCACCAATCGACTTGCCATCATCAACGCCCATACAACTTTTGATCAATGGCATTATGTGAACACAAAAGAAAATCCTGCTGACTGTGCATCTAGAGGAATATCTGTGATTGATAAATTCATAGATCATCAGTTGTGGTTTCATGGACCTGAATTCCTCCTGAAATCAGAATCTACTTGGCTTTTGAACTGTGACATTGATACTACTATTGGGGTTAACGACGTGGAAGTGAAAAAATACATCAACACTACCCTTATACAGTCTTCCTTCAATAGTGTTGAAAAAATTCTTCAGCATTTCTCAGATTGGAAAAGACTTAAAGTCACGGTTGGATGGTTCTTGAAAGCCAAGGATAACCTGAGAAAAATAGTCAAGCAGAAAATAGAAAGAAGAGAGAAAATGATAGACTCTGGAGCTTCAAAAGAGAGAATCATGCAGATTGAAAGAGTGGAAAGTGAAACAAGAGTAAAGGAGTCCAAGAAGGCAAAAGACATTCCTTTTCTCTGTACTGATATCCTCGACAGAGCTGAAAGAGAACTTGTGGCATATGAGCAAAGGCAGTATTACGCAAATGAATTGAAAATTCTTGGAGACAAACATGGATATGTCAAAAAATCGTCACAGCTTTCTAGATTAGATCCTTTTTTACATGAAGGAGTCATCAAAGTGGGGGGCAGACTAGAAAAGCTAAATGCATCTTTTACCACTAAGCATCAGATGATCATTCCAAAAAATTCCACACTGACTAGGATGATTGCTATAGATGCCCACAGATCTGCAGGACACATGGGCAAGAATGCTACTTAAGCAGTCATTCGAGAGAAGTTTTGGATACCCGGTATTTCATCTGTATTAAAATCGCTTATCTCAAAATGTGTTATATGCAGACGATACCAGTCTCCTCCAATGCACCAAAAGATGGCCAATCTACCTTCTGAAAGATTGGAAACATGATCCCCCATTCACCCGTGTAGGTATGGACTACTTTGGATCATTTGAATTGAAGAGAGGAAGGAGTATGATGAAACGATATGGTGTAATATTTACCTGTCTTAATACACGAGCAGTCCATCTTGAAGTGTCATTCTCTTTGGAATCAGATTCATGTATTGATGCTATTCGCAGATTCATCGCAAGGAGAGGAAAACCTAAATTTATCCAATCAGACAATGGTACAAATTTAGTGGGTGCAGAAAAGGAATTAAGAGAAGCTATCAAGACATGTAACGTTAACCAAATTCATTCTCATTTGTTGCAGTCAGGGATAGATTGGATGTTTAACCCACCATCAGCATCACATTTCGGAGGTGTCTGGGAACGACTTATCAGATCCGTAAGAAAGGTGATATTTTCCGTTTTACATGAACAAACTATTTATCTGAACGATGAAGGACTCACAACTTTGTTCTGTGAAGTTGAAGCAATTCTCAATGGAAGACCTTTGACGCCCACATCAGATAACCCTAGTGATCTAAGCACCAAACCATTTGCTACTACTTAGATCTGGAGAAACTTGCCCACCTGGAACTTTTTCACAGATGGACAACTACGTTCGACGTAGATGGCGCCAGATCCAATATCTTGCAGACATCTTCTGGAGAAGATGGATTAAAGAGTATCTACCCCTTCTTCAGAGCAGGCAGATGTGGTTAAAGGAGGGACGCAATGTTAAAGAAGGTGATTTGGTTCTTATTGTTGAAAATGGCCCAAGGAATTATTGGAATCTTGGACGAGTTCTGGAGGTTCAAAAGGACAGACATAATATTGTTCGTGTTGTGAAAGTGAAAACTGTGTCCAACATTCTTACACGTCCAATAACGAAACCGTGTCTTGTGTTGGAGTCGGATGACAGAGACTAAATTGTTTCACATGTTTAAAGATGTTAATTGCTCATTGGAAAATTGTAAAATATGTTCTGTGTAGGACCATATTTTAGGGGCCGGTGTAAGATTGCTATTATATTATTGTCCAAATTTATCCAGATCAATTTATTTATCCAATTTTGTCAGAATATGAATTTTCAATCTTGACGTGTGAACCCGCCATATTTGCACGATTTTTCGATGTTTACCCAAAGCTGTAGTGAGTTTGAGCTGTTTTACCTTAGATTTTTGGATGAGTTGGAAAATAATCACGGTAATTACCTTTCTTTTTATGGTTGTATAAATGCAGTGTTAACTTCATATCTTTTTGTATACTGTATTTTTGGAGGAAACAAGGTTAATCTTCAGTTTGAGCATATGATGTAAATTAGCGTTCTCACACGTTAGATGTTAACGTCATTTATACATTTCTATTCACTTAAATTATTCAACACCATCATGCATTACTAGTTTATTACATAAAGTATTCATATTTATTGTATTCAGTATTATCAGTCAGTCGAATGGTGCATCATTTCGGTCACATTTATATAATGTACAGCATTGTAAGTTCTGTTTATTTTTTTTGTTGTAGTCAATCTTTTCCCTTTCCTTTACCATTTCCTTTACCTATGTTGATGGAAATAAATGATGGGAAACGAATGTGACAGTTATTTATGAGAAACATGAAAGGAAAACAGTGTCATAGCACTACAGAGATTACTGTATTTTAAAGAGAAATACGATACATATTTATTAGTCATTGATAAATTTTTACTTTGTATTTTTCATTATTTTTTGTCCCAAGACTTCGCGCAATTCCTTGATCTGTCTCTTTTTACCAGTACTGTAGATTTCTTATTTTACAGGAGTACTTAATATCACAGTGACTTTGTATTTTTCATTGTTTTTTTGTCCCCCAAAAGACTGCATTATTCCTTGATTTGTCTCTTTTTACCAGTACTGTAGATTTCTTATTTTATGGGACTACTTAATATCACACTGACTTGTAGATGTCAAATTGCAAGAACATTAATTAGCGAATTAACTGTTTATGAAGAGTATTTTAGCAATAAGAAAATACAAATGGATAATTCTATTCATGAGTGGTACATCTCATGAATTTACGCAATAATAAATTCTTCATGTATATATTGGAATCTAAAGTATTCTTTAATTACCTGTTTATTGAGACATATAACCAAAGTGAAGGGATCAGATGACATAAGTGAGGAAGACCTCCGCACCCTCATTTTACGTGGAACAATGGATCCACCCCTCTGAAAGACTGGGATTTTCCCAAGAGGTGCATTAATGTAAGTATTCTGAGCACCTGCATAGCTTTGATGTGTCTGTATGTCATACCAAACCTAGATAGAATCAAATCAAAACCAATGTCTGTGAAAATCAAAATAAGTACGCAAATAACAGATTTTTAAGCTACAGTCATTAGCAAAAGTTTTCTTAATTTTGAGAAAATATGCATTTATACATTAGGGTGTATAGATGTATACTTCACTGATTTAAACAATAGGAATATCTTACATCTAGTGACATTATCATCAAAATTTAAAATTCAAAGTAATGTATATTATTAATATTTGTTAAACCTTTGTTACTTACATCATTTCTGCCAGGGAAATACACGGTTGTACCAGTTGCCCCCTGATCTGTGATTGGTTTAACCAGAAGTGATGACCCTGAAGTACAAATAAATATTACGCATTTACAGTATGTAAAAAACAAAATATTGTTGCATTTACAAAAAACACTATTCAGATCTGATCAGATGGAAAAATGGACAGTCATAGTTGAGCAGATTTAGGCCATATCTTATATATCAGCATCTTTACCTAATAGATATTCATCGTCCATTTTGAATGTGCTTTTATCCTCCGGGAACTCAACCCACAGTGGACTCATTACTGTCTCACCGCTACGGTAACCATGGTAAAACAGTGTGTACCAGAAAGGAAGGTAAGTGTACCGCAGACGGATGGCATCCCGGACAATTTTCCTGTTCTCCTCCGGTAACAAGTATGGCTCTCGTCTCTTTGTGTCAATGTGGGCGTGAGCTCTGAAGAACGGTTGGAAGGCTCCAGCCTTTGAAAATACAAAACAATATCACAACAATCTGTTATTTACATGTAGTTATAGAAAGGAACTTAAGGTTAACCATCCCTCTGTTCATTCACATAAAACTTTGCTTTATTGTTAACGATTTTCCACAAAGAAATTTTAATCATAACAAAAATTTCAACATACCTTGCAGGGCAAAATTTGACAAAAATGTCCTTTTCACTTGACAATTTTATAAAGGAGAAATAGTCATTTTTCCCACTGAGTGTTATCTCCATTATCAGAGGGTCAATGGACCTTAAATTGTAAAACTTTTATGCGAAGTCTGAATATGACATTACCTGATACCAGCGGGTCTGGAGTTCACTGTCTGGGTTCTTGAAGAAGCCACCTACATCGGCTCCAGAAAAGGTTATTCCCGCCAGGTTCAAGGTCAGTAACATAGGTACAGATACCTTAAGGTGTGACCATTCACCCATATTGTCCCCCGTCCACACTGCCCCTGTTATGAATCAAAAATAAAATAAACAAAGCCTTTAATATCTCTGTTACCCAGTATATCATAGTACATGTATTCTGATTATCATTTGATGACAAACTGTTTTTACTTGTCTCAGAATTGGTAGGATTTCGAATATCTTAAAATTTTTGATGAAGAAGTCCTTACCAAACCTCTGAGATCCTGCAAAGAAAGCTCTGGTGAGAACAAATGGTCTCTGCTCATTGTTAGACCTCATCAAAATCCCCTCAGCTGTGGCTTTTTGCTAAATCAAATAAACAAGCCTTCTCTTTAGCAAACAATTTCATATCAAAATTGACAAGAAAAAATCCATATTTAATAAAGAAATTTTTTATTCTTGTATAGAGTAAAGCAGATTTCTTACCACATAAAATCCATATAAATTGTGTACATCTCTGTTTTCAAATCCTCCATGATGGAGTACGTCTTTGTGAAAGGTAATTTCTGGCCCGTTAAAGACAGAAGGTTCATTCATGTCATTCCAGATGAACAGATCAGGGGTACTTCCGTCATATTCAGAGTACTGGAATTTTGAAGCCCACCAGTTCCTGACATCAGGGTTGATGAAGTCTGGCCAGCTTGATGAACCTTAAAATAAACATGTATTACATCAGCTTTATGGACCTTAAAATAAACATATTACACCATCATTGTTGGAAAAATGATTCAGTTTAAAATTTTGCATGTTAAGAGAATTCTATTAATATAAAAAGACTTTATTAAATTTACAGTATATAAGAGGGCAGTTATTACCATTTGCCAGTTGTTTAATCTTTACTTACAAAATTACATTATAACTTGTTAATAAAGTTTATGGTAGAGACAAAGTTGCAATTGATGAAGGAGAGACATAATTCATCTACATTCATGTCCATAATGTCACAGACTTGAACTGGTGTTTGAATTAAAACCTTTGTGGTTCATGTACACTTCTAAAAGATACTTGTTCTCTCTTCACATTATAAATTCCTACCTGGCCAGCACCAGCCCTCGTACTCCACTCCGTTCCCTCCTTTCACCATGAGGTCCCTACTTTTAGCATCAGCGTACACTTTGTAGTTGTCGTCCCTCTTCAGATGAGGGTCCACGATTGTCACCATCTTTCTTCCTTTAGCTCCTTCAGCGTCCAGCATGTCCTTAGAGGCAGGAAACTTGTGGGCATCCCACGTAAAGTATCTACAATAAATCAAATTAAATAAATCACATCCCATATCTACCAATACAATAAATCAAATCGATCACATCCCATGTAAAGTATCTACCAATACAATATATTAAATCCATCAAATTCCATTTAAAGCATATACCAATATCAGTATCAGTAATTAAAGCCTGAGATTAATGAGAAACCTACCTTTTACCATCTGTATGTTCAATGTCTAACCAAATCACGTCAAACGGGATGTCAAATAGGTCCATATTGGCATCAACACTGAAGTAAGAAAGTGAAACATGTGGAACATGGTAGTATTAATTCATGATTGTGTCAGACATGTTTGTGCTTAATTTTGAATTAACTAAAAAATATACTGTAGATATGCAGTATTTTTGGATAAATTAAAAAGTTGTGCAATTAATACTGTGCCTAAATACTAATTTGTTTGCTGTTAAATTTGTGGGTTTTACTTAACATCATATACATGTAGATTACTGCTCACAAATATCTCCTAGTCTACATTCTACTCACTTTTTCACATCTTCTTGGTCATTATAATTCCACCTGCACTGATGATATGAAATTGCAAAGAGCTGCAAAGAAAAACAAAATTAGGAAATCATGTTTTCTCTATGTCATTTAAATCACTAATTAACTTTGCTACAGAATTACTTTTGAATCCTTGAGTACTGTGTGTTTTTTTATGTTTTAGTTGAACACAGATTTTCAATGTTTTTCAGGTTGAGGCTGACCATAAAATTAGGTGATCAGAAACTATAAATTTTACTATTTTTAGCTCTCCATGAATTTTCACAAAAAATAGAGTTGTATTTTTTGCCCAAAACACAAAATTTTATTCCCATGAAAATAAATGAATCCCTAGTATACAAATGCTTCATAAACCTACAGGTGGGAGCTCCGTGGATCCAGTCAGAGCAGCAAACTGTTTGAAGACATCTTTGGGGCGGGGACCTAGCATAACAAACACATCAATGACCCCACTCTCAGAAAACCAATGGGTGTCCATCTGAGCCATCTCCGTGTTCCCCTTCACAAGGTCCGCAATTTTTGAAAAGAAATTCTGCAAGGTAAATACACTAACCTACTAAAATCATTTACATTTATATGTATCTGAAATTGGAGAAAGCCTACAGTATTGCATATGGTTATTTGGAATCCAGTAATTGTATTTCTGTATCATTATTACATCTGATAACAGAGGTTAATCTTTACCTTGTCTGCTGTTGTGGAGCTGATATCTATCCACGTCTCTGCAGCATTGTTCCAATATATTCCCACTGTGCTCTTCTCACTACAAACAAACAGGCAATTGTAATCAACATGTAAAATGTTGATTGCAAAATGTAAGATGTTGGTAACAACATGTAAGATGTAAAGTCATCACAATCCAGCATCAGAATCATCACCAAAAAACAAGGAAAGACAAATAACTTTTACTTATTTTTATTTTCACTTTAGCCAAGATGCACCACTTTTACTTTCACTTTAGCAGATCTACACCTTTACTTTCACTTTATAGTAAAACTTACTTGTGGGCCCACATGACAGGTACAGATCCATATAGTGCCATGGGGTTGTACAGTTCATACTCAAAAACATCCAAGTTAAACAAACGATAGGGGTCTGTATCTCTATAAGTATACAAGATAAATGTACATATAGATATACACACACATACCATATGTAGCTTCTGTTAATTCTTATTGGCTTACAAATCTGTATTTAAGAATTTTAAGTTAACAAAGACTACATGTAACTCTCTGTCACATAAGACAGTCACTTTGTTCAAGTACAGTTCACTTACTTTGTAGTTTTGAGTGCCATACTTTCAGCATGTTCAGGAATTCCATACACATTCTCAAAACCTGGGTAGGAGATGTCAATTCCAACAGAGGCAGGTCCTAGAGTAAGAAAACATTTCATGGGAAACACTTTATAAATACATGTGTATGCTCTTGAATGGAATACGTTCTGATTTAATACATGTATAATTCAAGTAAGGACTTTTTTTTCCTTTCACTTATCAAGTAATTAACCCACAGAAAAATTTTCACACTAACATTATGTAAAAATTAATTTTACTCAGACTCGATTGAATCAGCATTGATGGCAAGTTCTTAAGTTTTGCAGTATTCAGAACCATACGATGTTATTTAGGCTGATATCACCGATTCAATTAATTCATTGATGGAAATTTGATTATTTACAGTATATATATTTTAGACAATACCCTCCAAGACATTTAGGTCTTGATACAGGTATATGATCAGGGATCAAATTAAAATCCATGGAAAAATCCATTAGAGTCTAAATTAACTTAGAGATGATAACTGAAGTAAGAATAACAACCATAAATGCCCATGTATAAGCTCACCATTGGGCTTAGGATCATGGAACGATTTAAAGGTTTCTTCCCATAATCCTGACTCCTCTGCTTCCTCTGGCTTCTTCTCTCCTTCTTCTTCCTTCTTCACTTCTTCTTCCTCCTAAAATCAGCCAATCACATATCTCAGCACAAAATAAAGCAACCAATCAAATAATTCAATACATAAGCAAAGCTAATCCAAGATCAATGAAAACATACATATTGCGACATAATAATTTCAATCAAAACCATATTTCATGCTTTTGATTCTATCAATTATCACTCACTGTATGCTTTCCAACAATAAAATAATTTCAAAAACTACAATATTTGCATACTCATATTCTCATCTGTTCTCAAAACATAAAGTAGATACTATATGTACATTTTGTAGTGCATGTATTAGATACATGCTAAAAACATAATATATCAAAAATATAGTCAGAACTCTCACTACTGCCTGGTCCTGACACGCCCACTGACCTTTTTCTCCTCTCCCTCAGCTGGCTCCGCGGGGGCAGCTTCCTCTGGCTTAGCCTCTCTGAAAGGTTGGGAAAACCATGAGAAAACAGAAGTCACCTTGTCGACCCAGCCCCTAGACAAGAGAGAGGCTACTGACTTCTGGCTAGTACAACATGCAAAACTAGTAGCACATAGAACAGTACAAAATGTTCAGAATATAGTGGTATATGTACAGTCAAGCTGTCTGAGAATGGTTATCAGAATAGATATTTACACAACACATTTTAAACTTTACTTATTAATAACTACATGTACATTTTCATTTGCAATGGTTTCTTCAGAGAAAAAAATTTGAACCTTATTTAATGTATTCAAGATGGAACTTTGAGAAATGACAGTTTGATTTTAAATTAGTACAATTACACTAGGGTTAATCTATAAGTGTGGCTTTTACAGATATACTTTTAGACATGAATACTGAGAAATTATTTATTAGTACAAGTGAGATAACATTTTTAACTCTGTGTATGAACCCAAAGAACAACCACATTAAGAAAATTATCAAAGATGTTAACAAAAGCAGTATGTGAAATTTCAAAACACTGATTAAAACAAAGAACAAGATAAGATAAGGCTCCTGTTTGGCCCTTAAATCATGATTGAACCAGACTTGAAGAAATATATCAAGTTCAGTAATATAATGTAAACAAACTTAGAAAGTGCCAAAATCTTTTGAAAATCCGGTAATAATGCAATCACTGTACATGTATCCTAAAATATGGGGAAACTACAAGTAAATGGACAAATTGAACATTTTTTGCTTTAGAAGGTATTACTATTAGCGCTTGGATTAGCAACAAGTAACTTGTAAATGATCTGTGCTATGTTATGATGAGCATAGTAGTATTTGCAAGCTTGATACATGTGCTCTAAATTTTCTAACTGGAAAACTATCATCTTTAAGGTTCTAAATTGTTTAACTGGAAAACTATCAGCTTTAAGGTTCTAAATTTTCTAACTGGAAAACTAGCATCTTTAAGGTTTTGATTATATTATGAACAATTATCATATTTATTGTTCCACAGTCAGACAGTTAACATATGTTTGGTTTAAAGGATTGTAATTTTTTGTTTTCTCTTCTCCAATGAATTTTATTATTTTCTGTTTATTATCATGATTACTTGATTAGTTTTCTGAAACCATCTTGAAATTTTTGGGCTAAAATTAAGCAATAAATAATATCTGATTTAATAACATATTCATTCTAATTTTCAAGCCTCCACTCTCCATTTGATAAGTGTTCTTATTTACACTCACACAAAAAGGCAAAAAATAAACTTACGGTTTCTTCCTAAAATGTTCGAATTTGAGCAGGCCCTGTGCGTTGATACTGACCAGTGGTTCCTCTCCCGAGATGAAGTCGATACGGAACGGAGAGTACGTCAGAACGATTTTACTGTTCTCCAGACCTAATGTTATACTACTGGAGGCCTTGTCCAGAACTTTTATGCTTTAAAAATAAAATGGGAACACTTCGTTATCAGACTTCATTAGAAAACAGATGTAATTTTTCTTTATTAAGTCTTCTCACTTAATTAACATGCTTAACAAAACTCTGATTCTGTTTTAATTGAATTATACATATCTTTTTTATAAACAGACACTATTAACTTACTGTGAAATCACTAATTTTCAATAGGGTTCCATTTTCATGTTTTCGCGGTATGAAGAAACCCCACGAAACCAAATCCCCACGAACCAATAATTTTTCCTTGAACCTCAAAATTTGAACCCACGAAAATATGTGATTTTACAGTATATAGTCTGACAATGAAGGCAAAGCAAGCTTCAAGATATAAAGATATTAGCTCCATGGTCAATTTATTTAGACTCGCAAGCCAAGTTTGAATCTTAAAAACCCATTCACTGTAGTTCTTGTGTCTTTCAACACAGCATGTTATTTATATAGTTTCTGATGCCACTCAGCCACTAATAATTAATGTGGTAAAAAAAGGTTAAAAACATTGCTTAACCAATAATAACAACAAGACTTACTCCTGTTGCCTTGGCTCCCCAACCAGAACATCCCCAACAGGAATCTCATAACGAGGCTTTAATGGTTCCAGTTCATTAATTTTCACTCGGGCTGTATTTCCTTGTAGGCCGAATAGCTCCACTATAAGTCTCACATTTGTTTTAGTATTAAGTAACTGAACACTTATTTGAGTAGGTGTGATTTTTAATGAGTCCATCAACACAACGTACGGACTATTGCCAGGTTGTAAGCTCCGGTGGCGCCTGAAATGGAGAAATCACTGAAAACAATTTGTCTGAACTTCAAAAGTAAAGATAAATTATTAAATGAATAACTTCAGTAACAATCAAATGTTCTGAATTATTCATTTCCCCAAAGCTATTAAAACTGAACATCAAAAAGGAGAGATAATTGAATATATGTAAAAAAAAAAAAGACAATCAAACATTTTGATTTTTTTTATATATATTAAAGCTGAAATTCAATTATTTATCTTTTTATTAAGGCTGGATTTCTAATTTTAACTTACTTGCAAAATCCACTCTGATCACACGTTTTGAAGTTGTCTCGATTGACTGAGTGCACTTGCACTATCAGCAACAAACAACAAAAGTATGATGACAACCTGTAAATTTAAGATATAATATCACTAGTCCTCCTACACCTGGAGTTTGTTTGATAAGAACTGACAATAGACAACTCCGGGCAATTCTCCCTGAGCATATAACAGACTACTAAGAATAGAGGAATCAGTCCTCTGTTCATTATAAATTTCAATCACTGATCATATCTTGACCATGTTCACTGTCACAAAGTATACAATATGCAGTCAAATATTTTATTTGCAACAAGAGTCAAAGCAGCTCATGTTACCATATTTAATTTTAGCTTTAATTACATAACATTTTTCTATTGGTGAAGAAGACAGTTGATACATTGCAGTCAACCAATAATTTCCCCGTGACTGCAGTAAGCCATACATTATACAGTTACAGTCAAACTTCGTTGTCTAAAACTTGATAGGACCGAGAAAAAATTTTGAGATATCCAAGGATTCAAGATATCCAGAGTAAAATACTTAAAAGAGAAAGTGGTTGGGACTTCCAAATCATTCAACATATCCATAGTATTTGATATAATGGTGTTCGAGATACCGAAGGTTGCATAGCTTAAAAAAAATTGCAGGTTTACTATTAAAAATTGCACTTATTGCAAACAGAAATGGAAATGCAACTAACATGCGACATTATCCAGTTCACTGAATCAAACTTGTATACTATCAAAGAGAAAAAGAATAAAATTATAACTATTCAGTACTGTTAGATACAACCTCCTTACAAGTAACAAACAGTCTTCTGTCTGATGGTGAATAAATTCATGAATAGTTACGCTGAGATATGTACTACTTAGATTCAATTTAGGGACTGACTTCCTTACTTCCTGATGGAAAGGCAAAAGGGTTTTCTGTTGTTGTTGATTTTTTTTTTAATTATTTAAAGACTTATTGGACAATTCTATTTTTAATACTGCTTCCCAAGATATTTTAAGCATACGAACAATGAAGATATCAACACTAAGGATTTAAGACCCATGAACTCCCTTAAATAAAATATACATTACAAAGTTCATTGTTGGCTTTGTTGCACATGTATATATTAACTTAATACAAACAACTTTCCAATCCATTTTGAGATTATAAGGCTTTCTAAATCCTTAATTGAAGGTGTCCGTTCCATTTCTTTCATATTTTTTGAAAGGTCTTAAAATTCTAAACAACTCTTCTTCAAAACTTATTAAAAATTTCTTAAAGTTTTCTAAGATATGAGGAAATTTCTAATTTAGGGGTTGGCACTGTAGCACCCTAATAGGAGATAATTTATTTTAATTTCAAGGAATATTTGGTCTCTGATAAAAATTTTAAAAAATATTAAAAGGTTATAGAGGGGTCAATATTTAGGACTCCAGACCTGGAAACTCCAACATTAAATAATACAAGTATACAATTTAGAATCATCTGAATACATGTATTTTAAGTTGTAGAGACACCAATTTAATTAACTTTGCTTCAATAGACATAAAACCCATTCCCAATGGGTGGAAAAAAAATCACTGTGGTAAGGTAAATGTTTAGGATTCTGCCTCAATAACTTCTCACTAAGACTTTTTGAGAAGTTTGAGTCCCAGCTAAATTTGATGCATCCAAGAAAAATTATTTGAGCTTTTGCTGTATCCTTCCATCCAAACAACAATGAAAACCTTTACTTTAACAGAAGTGTTTGTATGCAATAAATGAAATGTAATTAACAAATGTTAATGCATCCAACCTATATCCTCAAATATACACACAATTAATTCCCATAAAAATTTACTTAATGTCGATGAAGAACACATCCACTAACCTATCCACAGATACACATTTTTGAAGAAATGTCACATCCCATATAATATTGATGTATCCAATACACACAATAATGAGAACCCTGGAAAGAGCTAAAAAGACCCTGAAAGAACACAATGCTTTAAAAACTTTATTGAAACCCAAATGGAGGAGGAGTCAAAATGACATTACACTCCTTATGGTTTATAGCAAGCGCAACGAGGCGGTGCGAAGCGCCGTTCGCATTGTGAGCTCCATAGACAACGTGTATGTACGGAGTAAATTCGGGTTGAAATTTGCACATTGTTCAAAGAAATTTTTATCGGTCCACATGAAAAAATTCCAAACTCCCAATAATCCTTTGCAGTGCATAGCAACACGGTGACTTAAGCATAGCTTAATTACGATATGCAGTAAATGCAAGCCAAAGGAGTTTACTGAAAAGTGCAACATCATAAGCAGAATGTAAAACAACATTTGAGAAGGTGTGTAGAGTTGTTCAATAATGTCTACACTGAAAAATCACCCTCTATATAATATGTCCGACAGTGAAACCGTTAGGGCGAGCACAGTTCATTTCTGAACAACTCTACACACCTTCTCAAATGTCGTTTTACATTCTGCTTATGATGTTACACTTTTCGGTAAACTCCTTTGGCTTGCATTTACTGCATATCGTACATGAAAGTTCATCTTTTTAAAAATGATATTGACTCTGAAATATGGTACATATCGTTGCAGACTCCAAATGCATCGGGATCAAGATTCCTAACTTCTCCGACTTTTCCGACAAAATCGGAAATACCCGAGCTGTTGAAGTGACAAAAATATGACGTCACATACAAAGTCATGTTTACTGAGGACGCAAACGATAGTTTTGTGGCATGGAAATTGTATTAAATCGTTGTTTGTAATTTTCCCCAAGTAAGTTGTTGCTATGCTTAAAATTCCAGGTGCCTGGTCAGTATCAAGCATGAAAAAATTATCTTATTTCACTAAAATCGTAAAATATTTGAGAAAAAAATCAACAACAGATAAAACACGATAGCACTCTACATGTTGCAATTGAACCTCTTTATTGTGATTTAGAGAAAATTCGGATTGTCATTTTAGCCAACCAGAGAATCCCACGCAATTGTCCCGAAAAAAAATCGATCAGTTTTTGACAACAAATGACAATCTTTTATAATAAATTCCATACATTAAACATATCATACTCTACTAGAATGTGCACATGCATATATAGTGTTAAATTCCTTTTGAGAGAAAAGCGCCCTTCCAAAAGAAACCTATCGTGAACACGTACCGGATAGTGGTGGCTGCCATTTTCTTTGGACTAACAAATGGAAGTTGGTGGCAGAGTTTCGAACTTCCCAAACAGTCTTAAAAGATTACAATTATAGCATTAAAAATTACCTTATGTTGATTAACTGTGCATAAGATGAACATGAAAATAACACAATAAAAAACTACGAAAATGACAAATCGGTTTGAAATGTTATGGAGACGAAATCTTTTTTTTTTTTTTAAGTATTCAATTTTCTTTTATTTTTTTCATATTTCTAATTTAGTCACTGATTTCAGCATGTATTTTGATATTAAGAAATAGAGAATATGAATATATGGTGAATAAAAAGATATGAAGAGACAGTGGTTAAAATTCTTAAATTAATATTTGGGAGTGAAAAGACTGTGGAAGAAATTCACGACTCCCCAAGCTGTATCCTTTCTGCGTTTGAAACCACGAACTATGGAAAATAAATTTGAAAACACAAATCAACATTGACGTTAAATTAATTTCACATTGTTGCAGAAGGTTATTTTGCATTGTTATGCGTTTCGATGTTATTTATAACCACTTTATTGTCACGAAGGTTTGCCACACGAATTGCAACCCCAATACTGGTAAGTATTTTTCAATATTCTTATAAATATATTCACTGACAAGGATGTTGCCAGATGTTGGTCGCTCTAGAAAACGTGAAGTACTGATATTGCATCATTAGGTTTCATTAAGTTAATATGTTGACGGTGCGACCGTTAGGGCGAGCGCAGATACCTACATGTATATTCAGTTTTAATTTAGATCGGGCTCTCCAAACCGCATGCACGTGACATTTAGTACGTCTAGACTCTGACGTCACATGACGTCGCTTGTAAGTTGCATTAGCAAAACCAGGGCCAAAACGAAGTCTGAACAGTGCTTATTTTAATAAAGAAGGTTTCATCTACTATTTATCTGCTATATCCATCAAATCAAGATGAGTTTCATTTTTCTTGAAACTTCTTGTTAACGCGAGAACGTTGTTTCCGGCGAGATGCAATTCGCAAAGCATTATGGGACCACAGGTAACTGCGAAAAAAAAATCATTTGGATCATTGTGCAAAGTCCGAATTTTCTCTTCGCCCGGGCATTACTTTAAGAGCTCGCAGTGACAAGCGGCACTCGCTATTACTTTATTCGATGAAAAAAATCAACCTATTCAATTTGATCAATCTGGAAGTGCAACATTATAACATTTTTTTTTTCAAAGCTAGAATGTATTATTATTTATTCTGTTCACAAATTTGATGATCATGACCAGTAATAATTTTGGAGAGTATATGATTGAAATAAATCTTCTGTCAACAAATATAACTTCAGTAGAATAGCCCAAGATGTTTCAATTCATACACTGAAGAATACTAGCTCATCTTTCTTGGGATTTTGTTGTTTCATAGTAGAACAATTACAATAACATTATTTGTTCAAAGTTCCAAAGAAGATTTTGCTGTGTTATATATAATATTGTGGCAGTCAGATGGGTTCAGTCACCTGTGGCCAGATGGTTAAGTTGGTAGAGGTCCTGACAAGAGATTCAGGGGGAGTGGGTTCAAATCTTCATCTGGTCCATCACATTTTTCTCTCCTGGTACAATATTATGTTGCTATGTGTTTGAAGAGTTTTATAAATTTCCCATTTTGAATCATCCAAATTTTCATCAACTTTTTACAATGCATATATTCAAAGACAAATTTGCTATTTTTAATTATATAGTTTTCAGTTCTTACTGAGCAAGTGGATAGTTGGTGGACATAACAAGAGTGGATCTAACAGTCTCAGACAGAAGAGATCACTTTTTTGATAGAAATGATTCATTTAATAAATTAACAAAGCAGAAAGAAAATACTCTATCTTTAATGTGTTTTTTATTATTATAATTTGTTTTATTTCAAGCTCAACATAGAAGATTGTAATTCATAACTAACAAAAAAAAAATCTATTACAGTTTGAACACCACCAATGCTTCATATCTAGAAAGTCTTTTATATCCCATTTACAAAGACACTGGAGAGGAGAATTAAAGATAATGAAACTCCAAAGTCCAGTTTTAGACAACCTAGTGACACCAGAAATGAAAAAGCTGAGTGATTTGTTTGAGAAATATAATTTTGAGTTGCGAATAGCAGGAGGGGCAGTTCGAGATGTCCTGTTGGACAAAGTACCTCATGACATTGACTTTGCCACAACTGCCACCCCAACACAGATGAAAGAAATATTTACAAAAGAGGGCATCCGAATGGTTAACATGAATGGAGAAAAACATGGCACTATTACGGCAAGGATAGATGATAAGGTAATCTCCCTTATTTGACTTTTGCATGTGTTTTATAGTAGTATTAATAAGTGGTATGATTATCCTCTGCATTGGCATTTTCAGTCTGAATTTTTTCTGCAATATTTTAAAAGGAGAATTTCGAAGTGACGACATTGAGAATTGATGTAGTGACAGATGGCCGGAGGGCAGAGGTTGCTTTCACCACAGACTGGCAGATTGATGCAAACAGAAGAGATCTCACAATTAATGCCATGTTCTTAGGTAATTATTTTTCACCCACAACCATAACATTTAAGAATTTGATTGGACTCCATCATGTTCCTCTTATAGGTTTCATTTTCTTTCAAAGCAAAGAAATGTACAAAGTTTATATATTCTAATCATATGTTTTATATATTCTGATTCACAAATGTTAAAAAAAAAACTTTTGGTAGATTTTCAGTGGAATTTGTATGACTACTTCAATGGGAGAGAGGATCTGGCGAATCGGAGGATCCGGTTTGTGGGCGATGCTACAGAGAGGATCCAGGAGGATTACCTGAGAATTATGAGATACTTCAGGTAAGATAGATAGGTACAAATTGACAGTCAACAGTCCTGCCTACTCCTGATTAACCCTTAATTTTCATGATTTTTGACCCCCTAAATACACTATTTGATCTAAATGCCAAATCTCCAATTTTCTGTATTTTCTCCATTTTTGGTTTTTAAAGTTATTTCTCAGTAAGATGGAGCAGCACAAATGCTTAAATGATGAAAAATCATTATACAATTTTGCAAGCACAATACATGGTAAAAATGATGCTCAAACCACACTGAGATTGGCAAACAGGGTAGTTATTGAAATATTTTTTAACTTCTACATGTACTTTGTGTAATTGTCCATAGTGTCAAGTATCATATCCTCACTGAGCACAAGGAATAATTTGTTTTATGTGAATTCACTTTAGTTAACTAATTGAAAGTAGAAAACTTTCTGCATAAAAGTCAAATCTTACTGACAAATTGGCAGAAACTACTGAAAAATTTGTTTGGGGTAGGCAGGTCTGCAGTCAATCAACAACACAAGCATATGGAGTGATTAGTGAGTACTTTTAAATGCAGTGTTCTCACATCTAGATTTTTTGGAAGAATAGCTGATTCAAACAGTGTACATGAAGAGGCAACATTGGAGGCCATTAAACAGAATGTACATGGATTAAAATGTAAGTTTAGTAGAAATTAATATTCACAATTATCTTAATTTATTGATGCTCTTTTTAACAGCAGTTTACGATTATCATAGCAATTTAAAATTTATTTACATAAGATACAAATAAAAAGAAAATAAAGATACCTTATCATCTTAAATATTAATTATAAATATGAAGTAATTTCTTGCAAATTTACTCATCAACACTGAGATTATTTTGCTGTTAATTTCAAAAGCACTGCAAGATTCAGATAACTGATTTTAATTCATAGCTATTTCTGGTGAGCGCCTTTGGATGGAGTTCTCTAAGATCCTGATGGGGAATTTTGCTGCCAGTCTAATGAAGATAATGGTATCCTGTGGTGTTCATACTTACTTAGGTACATGTACTAACAGTTTTTCATATCATTCTCCGATTCCTGTAGATACATGTATATGTATATAGCCTGCACAGTCTAGGAATTGAGATTTTTGATTCCTTGTTATTTGAAAGTTTACATTTATTTTCTGAGGTGTAAATCATCATTTCAGTATCATTCTCTCATTAGTACCCCAGCAAACTTTATGGTGCAACATTGTCTTTTTCTTATTTCAATAAGAACATTATTTAAACTGGAAGTATTTTTTCCTTTGCATTAAATGTTTATTTAAGAAATAGAGTAAATGTACATGTTTTCCTGGATGTTGAATTTCAAACAAGTCTGGAAGCCAAGGATGTTATTTTACATCGTCCATGTTAACTAGAACTTTATTTCTATCCTACTAACAGCTGTATAATACAGAATCTATAGAGATATGAATTTAAAATAATTTGAAGTTCACCTGTATTCTTGTAAAAGGTTTACCAGAGAATTGTAACCTGGAGGAGTTTGAGAGAGTGTGTGGGGTAACAGAAGAGACAGGATGCCATGTGATGACCAGACTCATGGCTCTACTGTCCACGGATGATGAGGTAAACTCATCACAATCATAAACTCAGTCCTCACAATCATACACTTAGTCACTGCCTGGTAAAGACCAGACTCATGGCCTTACAGTCCACGGACGATGAGGTAAGCTGTATCAGTCCTCACAATCATACACTAAGTCACTGCCACGTAATGACCAGACGTAATGACCAGACTTGTGGCTTTACTGTCCACTGACGACGAGGTAAACTCATCACAATCATAAACTCATCACAATCACACACTAAGTCACTGCCTCGTAATGACCAGACTCATGGCTATACTGTCCACAGACGACAAGGTAAACTCCTCACAATCATAAACTCAGTCCTCACAATCATACACTTAGTCACAAACTTAGTCACAAACTATAGTAGCCATCTTAATACAATGAATAGCAGTTAATTAAACTAAAATTTTAGTACTACAATAAAACTTTTATCTGTTTCAATTGCATAATCTTTTAATAAATTAGATATTGTACTCGATTGAATTTGAATATGTTTTTACTAATATTTCAAAAAACACTTATGGATCTCTCTCTTTATTTTCCTCATTCTCTTTGTCTTAATTTAAAAAAAAAATTAAATTAAATCTGAAATTATTAACAATTTAAATATTGCTTTTTTGATGTTTTCTCAGTTTGTTTGACTTGTATTAAAATTAAAAAGACACTTGAGTTTAATTCATGGTATTATGATTTGGATAATTTATTCTTGTAGCTATATGATTTGGACAAAAGAATTAAGTTTTCCAACGAGGAGTTTGCTTCTGGGATTTTCATTATTCACAACAGAGACACACCAATGGGGGAAGATAAAATGAAATTCTGTCAATATCTGTTAGTTGATTCTACAGGGAAACAAAAAATTACATTTGAACATATTTGTGAACTTTTGAAATATAAAAATGAGGAAGATTTGTTAGAAGAATTCCGCCAATGGACCCCACCATTTTTACCTGTGAGTGGAAATGACTTGGTGTCGTTAAACATTCCCAAGGGACCTCTATTTAAACGAACATTAGATGAAGTGAGACAGGTCTGGAAGTTAAGTGACTTTAGTCTTACTAGAGATGAACTTCTGGAGAGAGTTCCTCAGATTCTTGAGAATGTGAAGGCAACTCCAAGAAAACAGAGTCCAAAACCAAAACGGAAAAGAAAAGAGTAACAAGATTGTGTAGTAAAAAATTCTCCAAGAGTTGTCTTTCTTCCAACTTTAAACCGAATATGTTGAAGTGGTGCAGATATACATGAATTTCAATTTACAAATTTGTTTTCGATTGAATAGCCAGAAAGAAAAATTGCTTGTAATTCAAATTAATGTAAAGAGTGCACAATTTTTTATTGTCATTACATGATATGATATTATTCCAATGAAATACAAGGGCAAAACTTTTCATGTGACAGCAAACTTGATTTTCTTTGATGTGAATAGTACTGGTATTTCTCACATAAATGATTAAATTTTCTCTTCTGAAAACTGTAGGAAAAGTTATATAGACAAATGATGTACCATTTAAACAATATTTTGCATAAAAATGAAAAAGGGTCAATGACTGGTATTTTTCTCATTAATTATCATACATGTAAATTAAAATCTATGTACCATGCACTATTGCAATTCTCTGGTATATGTACAAGTAATTGGCAAATTAGAACTTCCTTTCTTGAAAACTGTAGAATGACTTATCTGGATAAATTATGTACCAGATAAACAATATTTTGCATTAAAATGATTAAATTCAACAACTGGTATTTTTCTTATTTTTTTTTAGCTCACCTGAGCCGAAGGCTCAAGTGAGCTTTTCTGATCACATTTTGTCCGTCGTCCGTCCGTCCGTCCGTCTGTCCGTCTGTCCGTCTGTCTGTCTGTCTGTCCGTCCGTCCGTAAACTTTTCACATTTTTGACTTCTTCTCAAGAACCACTGGGCCAATTTTGACCAAACTTGGTACAAAGCATCCTTGGGTGAAGGGGAGTTTAAATTGTTAAAATGAAGGGCCAAGTCCCCTTCAAAGGGGAGATAATTAAGAAAATACAAAAATTGGGTGGGATCATTAAAAAATCTTCTTCTCAAGAACCACTGGGCAAGGAAAGCTGAAACTTATCTGGAAGCATCCTAAGGTAGTGTAAATTCTAAATTGTTCAAATCATGACCCCCCGGGATAGGGCGGGGCCACAATAGGGAATCCAAGTTTTACATTGAAATATATAGGAAAAATCTTTAAAAATCTTCTTCTCAAGAACCACTAGGCCAGAAAAGCTGAAACTTATGTGGAAGCATTCTGGGGTAGTGTAAATTCTAAATTGTTCAAATCATGACCCCCGGGGGTAGGGCGGGGCCACAATAGGGAATCCAAGTTTTACATTGAAATATATAGGAAAAATCTTTAAAAATCTTCTTCTCAAGAACCACTGGGCCAGATAAGCTGAAACTTATGTGGAAGCATGCTGGGGTAGTGTAGATTCTAAATTGTTAAAATCATGACCCCCGGTGGTAGGGCGGGGCCACAATAGGGAATCCAAGTTTTACATTGAAATATATAGGAAAAATCTTTAAAAATCTTCTTCTCAAGAACCACTAGGCCAGAAAAGCTGAAACTGGGGTAGTGTAGATTCTAAATTGTTTAAATCATGACCCCCCGGGATAAGGCGGGGCCACAATAGGGAATCCAAGTTTTACATTGAAATATATAGGAAAAATCTTGAAAAATCTTCTTCTCAAGAACCACTGGGCCAGAAAAGCTGAAACGTATCTGAAAGCATGCTAGGGTAGTGTAGATTCTAAATTATTCAAATCATGACCCCTGGGGATAGGGCGGGGTCATAATAAATACTACCGGGGGGGGGGGGAGAAATCAGGTGAAAAACAGCAAGGCCAAAGTTACTCAGGTGAGCGCTGTGGCCCATGGGCCTCTTGTTCAAAAATCATAATCCAAGAATTATGCACATCTGTGATGTATGCACAATTGATCTGCCAAATAAAAACTTACTATCTTGAAAACTCTGGACGATAGATGTACCCTATAAGCAATATTTTGAATAAAATTGATTAGATTTAAACTGGTGTTTTTCTTATTAATTATCAGAAATCAAACTCCAAGTTCCATGCACGTCTGTGATATATGTACAGTTGATGCTTACAAAATAAAAACTTCCTATCTTGAAAATATCCGGACAAATGACATACCCTTTCGGCAGCCCTCCCCCAACCCTTCCCAGCCATTTCAATAACCTTATTTTTTAGACGGAAACCCGGTTAAAAATCCCTATTTACTTTGTTTCCAATTGAAAACAAAAAACATTTGCAAGTTTTGAGAACTCACAGATGAAAGGAAATAAAGACTATCAGTGATATGATTTTTTTGCTCAAAATTTTTCTGTTTAATTTAGATAAAGATTTTTTTTTTATCAGTTTTTAGAAAAATCCAAATGAAATTAGCAATTTTTATTTTCAGTTAAGCTCAAGCGCAAGCTATGTCCACTTACGGAGCTTTTATTGCTAAACCTGTAGAGATACAGTCTCTTAAGAGACTTTAAGCTTTATTAATGTTCCCCAGTTTTCCGGCTCTGTTCTCATTGAAAAAAAAATAATGGTCGAGAAGGTAACCGCTAAGGAATAGCTACAGTTTTGCATCTAATAGTTCATGGTCTTGGAATTAACTCCTTTTTCGGCAAATTGTAATTATAGAAAAGATATTTTTCGTTAACTATCAAATTTCCTATGCATGATACAAGTAACTCCGCATTACAAAAAAAAAAAAAAAAAAAAAAATAGATGCAGGCGCCAATGGATTCTGAAATGATGACATAATGTCACACTAATAAAATACATTCTAGAAAATCGATTGAGTTAACTTTCCGATATCATAACAAATAGCAACAAAAATATAAGTGTTTAAGAAAGAATTAAATGGTCTTTTTATGTCAATATATATATGTGTGTGGTCAGTAAGACAAGTGAGCTAATCCGGGTTTCGAAATTTGTATCGGTATCACAGGAATCATGGACAACTACAATGTAGTAATCCCCGTTTTGTTGTGCGTTCGTCAAGTGAGCTAAGTTTGTATCCGTATATAGTATATCATTGAGGGAGTTCGCAAGATTCCAGTTCCCCTCGACCTGGTCTACCTCTCTTGGCTTCGCCTCGGGAAATAGTCCTGGCCTCTCCTTGAAAAACTGGAATCTTGCTAACTCTCAATGATATACTTTAAAACTATATATTGAAATCAAAGAAATTAAAAATGAATCAATGAATAAATAAGTAGTGAACATACCTGTAAACCGTCTTGTAAAATTGAATTTTTGAAATGTTTAAAACATTTTATATGAATTGAATTCAGAATGAAATACGTAATTAATTTTTCTTCTCTACAGAAATAGGAGCATTTGTTGGTGTACTATACCACCATGATGAAGATGTCAAATATTGACAAGTGATAACAATTAAATGACTATCAAACAGACACGTCCCTATAACAATAAACCCTAAATAGTTACATGATGGATAAATTACCCTTTAATAACCTCCATTTGAATATTAAAATTCGCGCAGTGCGCCTGAGTAGTATATCATGTGACAATAAAAAAAGATCACGGATTGGGTCATCCGAACTACGATGCTACCCGGGTGGCGTTATCAGGGGTCGTTAATGTCTTTAATGCTATTTATCAGTTTATAATGGTCGCTAAATCCGTATCTTTGATTTACATTTCACACCACCCTTTCTAGGAATGTGCTGGTGACTTAATAACGGTCCATACGGCACTCGCGAATTGACAATTAAATATTTACCCGCATGATCGCGTCTAACGCTGTCAGAAGGACTAGATACTGCACGTGCACACAGGTAGATGCACGTGGACAGAATCAGGCCGGTCATTACGACAGGGTCGTTAATAAATGATTTGAAATTATTTGTCTCAATTTTATGGCACTTTGTGTTTAATAAAGCAGGAATTTTATTGTTCGTGTTGTTAATCATTACAATCAGGTCTTTAATTAACGATTAAAAGCTGCATTTTGCTGTACGCTCAAGTCAGATGCTCCATTTTATTTAATAACTTTTCAAATATTTGTCTTTAAGCGAGTGTATTTTCAGAGTTTAATACGTGTAATAGAAATTTCCGTACGTTGTAAGATTGAAATGTCTAGCATATATATTATGTCCAAATGAAAGAAGATGTAGATTTTGTGTTTTTCTTGTAGACGACATTCTGTGAAAATGACTACCTGGTATGTCGATTTGTCATTTATTCTGTTGATTTTGTATGTTTTATTTTCTCAAACCTCAAGAGAACAAAGGAGAAATGTACACGATCAACTAAGATTAGATTAATTAAGGACAGATGATGCAAACAAACTTTTATCAGAAATTAACAACTTCTGTCATATTTGTATAAGTAAAATGAATAAATTTCACCTCATAGTTTTTAATTTTTCATGCAAATTTCACAATTATGGGATTTAAAGTTACAAAAAGTTGTATAGATTAATAAGGATGATTGCAGAAAGATACAATTTCGAACATCATAGAAAATTAACAATTTCTTAATATTTTAGAAATTTATCATTTGCATCATTTACAACCAAAATAGATCCAAAAATATAATTATACAGATCTAGACTTGTATCATCTGTCCTTTTAAGTCAACAACGAAAATAAATGTATCTGATGAACTTAGTTCAGCTCACACTTTATTTCAATAACATTAACATGTCGTTAACTAAGACTGATACAGTACCATATGATGAACAGAGAGCAGTTGATTTCATTTCGATAAGGAAATAAGGTGAGCTGAGAGAAGTTTATATCAATAAAAAGGCAATATCGTGTGTTCAGTTTAGTTCCCTTTACAGGCCCGTAGCAACGGTCTCAAAAGGGGGGGGGGGGGTTGGCTTCCCAAAAAAATTGACAAGCCAAAAAAAAATAAACTTACAAAAAAAGAGGGGGATGGAGACTTCCCAAAATACAAGCAAATCCCCCCCCCCCCAAAAAAAAGAAAGAAAAAAGAAAAGGAAAAACCCAATTAACCGTCCAAATTCTGAAATTAACCAGTGCTTGACCTTAGTGCAACAAAAAGTGGGGGGGGGGGGGCAACCAGCATTTATAGGAAAATTTACTATTGCAAAGTACTATAATCACAAAAAGTGGGGGCACCCCCCCCCCCCCCCCGCGCATTCTACGAACCTGCTTTAATATGTATCTTAACAAAAAAGTAATATGTCATGCATTGAGAGTAAAGTTACGTATGAGAGCAGTTCACTTAATGTTAATAAAAAGATAACGGAGCTAAGAACAGTTTCATCGTAAGTCATTACCAATTTACCATATGATGAGCTGAGAGTAGTTAATCCAACGTATATAAAATTAACAAAGTACCGTATGATGAGCTGAGAGTTGTTAATCCAACGTATATAAAATTAACAAAGTACAGTACGATGGGCTGAGAGTTGTTAATCCAACGTATATAAAATTAACAAAGTACCGTATGATCCAACGTATATAAAATTAACAAAGTACAGTATAATGAGCTGAAAGTAGTTAATCCAACGTATATAAAATTAACAAAGTACCGTATGATCCAACGTATATAGAATTAACAAAGTACAGTATGATGAGCTGAGAGTAGTTAATCCAACGTATATAAAATTAACAAAGTACCGTATAATCCAACGTATATAAAATTAACAAAGTACAGTATGATGAGCTGAAAGTAATTAATCTTACGTCAATAAAATTAATATGCAAAGTACCGTCTGATGAGTTAAAAGTATTTCATCTTACGATTAACAAAGTAAAGTACAGTATGATGAGTTAAGAGTAGTTTATCTTACGTCAATAAAATTAACAAAGTACCGTATGATGAGTTAAAAGTAGTTCAT